CACCTTAACAGCGTCATCTTTTAAAATTTTAAATAGTTTGACTGGAATGCCATCACCTCCACTAGCCTTGTTGTTAGCCAGGCTTTCTAAGGCCCACTTGACTTCACTCTCCAGGATGTCTGGCTCTAGGTCAGCAACCACACTATCTGGGTTGTCCAGAACATCCAAATCTTTCTGGTATAGCTCCTCTGTGTATTCTTGCCACCTCTTCTTGATGTCTTCTGCTTCTGTTAGGTACGTACCATCTGTGTCCTTTATCATGTCCATCTTTGCACAAAATGTTCCTCTAATATCTCCAATTTTCTTGAACCGATCTCTGGTTTTTCCCTTTCTATTATTTTCCTCTATATCTTTGCACTGTTCATTTAAGAAGGCCCTTGCTATTCTTTGAAAATCTGCATTCAATTTTCTGAAGCTTTCCCTACCTCCCTTGCATTTTGTTTCCCTTCTCTTCTCTGCTATTTGTAAGGCCTCGTTGGACAGCCACTTTGCTTTCTTTCATTTCCTTTTCTTTGGGATGGTTTTTGTTGCTGCCTCCTGTACAATGTTATGAGCCTCCAGCCATAGTTCTTCAGGCACTCTGTCCACTAAATCGAGTTCCTTAAATCTGTTGTTCACTTCCACTGTGTATTCATAAGGGATTTGGTCTAGATTATACCTGACTAGCCCAGTGGTTTTTCCTACTTTCTTCAGTTTAAGCTTGAGTTTTGCTATAAGAAGCTGATGATCAGAGCCATAATCGGCTCCAGGTCTTGTTGACTGTGAGGGCTACTTCATTACTTCTATGGGATTCTTGCCCACAATAATAGATATGATAATCGTCTGAACTGAATTCGTCTCTTCCCATCCATTTTAGTTCAGTGATGCCCAGGATGTCAATGTTTATTCTTGCCATCTCCTGTTTGACCATAGCCATCTTAGCAAGATTCATAGATCTTACATTCCAGGTTCCTATGCAGTATTTTTCTTTGGAGCATCAGACTTTCCTTTCACTTGTATAGTTTGTAAAACATGTGTAGGCTGAGTTAAAGAAATGACAGTGATTTTATAATTATAGAACAATATTATAGTTATATAAAAACAACAATAATTTTGTAAATTAAAAACAATGAAAACATTCTTTGTAAATGCAAAATGGACACTAGACATGAAAACAGTAAAGGGGCGGAATGTAATTTAAATGGCAATCTGAAGGGGCGTGTGCGGGAACCGAACCCTTTCCCAAGCCCATGTTTACCTCATCCCCTAAGAGATCTTCTCCCCTGCAGTTCTTGTCTTGATGAGAAAGCGATTGAGGAAATGGCCAGTGGAATTGGCTTTGGGGGGAGGGATGCACTGAAGGTGCAGGAACAGCTCCTGTCCCCACATGGTGTTTAGAATTACCCCATCCCCTCATTTATACAAAACTGGTGGCAACTCAGTTCTGACACGTAGGTCTGCTGATGCAGCACCCAGTTTGCTGCGAAGCAAGTGAATTCTCACCCCATCAAATACTGTATACTATCCCATTTTATTTCTAATTGTCCAGCTCTGGTCTTCCAAGCACAATTCAGAATTTCATAAAACTGTCCGGACACGCCATGGAAATCAACATAGGTGTTTTCCCACAGAGAACCTTAAGAGGGCACTGTCCGCTTACTGTCGAAGTTAAGCACAAGAGAGTAGTTAGTTGTGGAAATGTGGAGTTCAGCACGTACAAACATATAGTAAAGCAGGAAATTTACAATGGGCTTTTCATACTGGAAGTCGTCTCCATGCACGTAAAAGGAGCAGGGAGAAAAGATATACCCCTTTCCCATGAACAATAATGCATAAAAAGGCAACGCGCAGCAACTATGAAGACAGGGAAGGGGTGTACAGTTGCCAAGATCTGTACTGCCCTTCTTTTGTTTAGCCACAGACCCCTGACATAGAAACCTTTAGTAAATGTCACTTGTCCTTCTTGTGTGCCTGGTAGTTCTTTTTCCTTATTGGGCATAAGCTCTGTTTGGGTGTAAACAAGGAAGACTAAACATCAGAGATGTAGAATGTGCACTAGCCCTATTTCATTATACATTTCCATCTCCCTGTAGGTGTGGCAGGTGACTTCCTGAAGTGCCTGCATTCTTCTGAGCATGGAGGCTCTTCATGGGATTTAGAATGCCAGAGTTTTCCAGAGGTTTGAATGACATGGACTAATGCCCAGGGACAGGAGAAGCTCTCCTCTTCAGAACGTTGTCCTCCTCCTGAGGGAAATTTGTGTGAAGGCAGCAAAATTGGCACTCTGCAGATATAGTAAAAAAAAAAAAAAGGCAGGGTTGAAATGAAAGGTTCTTTTCCAACTAGAAAATGACGATAATGCCTCTGGTGAGTTCATGTGGAGAATTGGGACATGTTCCTGACAGATCTTGTTAGAGCAGCTTCTCTGAAAATGCGGGCTCTAGAGAATGTCCTTCCCCCCCCCTGATTTTTAAATGAAATGTAAATAACTGAAGAAGTCTACACCCATACTTTTGCTTCTAACTAAAAAGCATAAGATCTTTTTGACTTTTTTTTCTTTCCTAAGCCTAACATGAAAATCATCCCCTCATGGCCTTAGGCAACGTTCCCTCTAATTTTCAGCCCTGCAGGGTGGCACTCTGCCCCTCACATGTGCACCTCCACCCCATGTGACTCCCCCCCCACCGTGGATTTCCATTACGACCGGAACCAAAGGGGATGGAAATTGTTGCTTTTTGTGAGCAGAGGAGAAGGAGTCCTGAGCAGAGGGGGGTGAAGTCATACGTACTCATGCAGCTACACACTTTAGAGGGAACCTTGGTCTTAGGCCATCTAGAAACACAGGCCCCACAAACAATAATACCAGTGTTCAGTTTCTGGAAATGGCTTAATTGCTCCTAGAAATTTTGTTTTATTTTCTCATTGTGTTTAATTTTTAAAATTTTAATATTTTACCAGCCAAAAGCCCAGGAATTGCTGTGGGAAATGTTAAATATAGCATCTAAACTTTCAGTGCTGTTATACTTGTATATAACACCACTGAAAATGTACACAGAAAAAGTAGGAATCCATATCATTATATTTTTATATCTGAACACCTTTGGGGTTGCATTGGCCAGCATTTTGTTTGTTTGTTTATCACATAATGCTGTGAAAGTTACAAACAAATAAATATATAGAAGCATGTACATATATGGATGACAATATTATTTTATCTCCACTATTCTTCTATTATCACTTTATTTCTCATTATGAAAGTCTGGAGATTTTCACCAAATAGGATGTCTCTTTAAGCCACATTTCTCAGCCCTACATGAAGACACCCTTCAAAAACCACAGCATTTAAAATAGACTTCTTTCATCCCATACTGCTCTTTGTGTGGAGACTGTACACAGTATGAAGTGTGGGTGTGGTAGAAGAACTAGGCACTGGGGGAAGGCTGCAGGAATGCAGCCTGCACCCACTGCAGCAGTTTCTACTGAGAGAAGAGGGAGAGGAAAAAGATAACCTACAACTGATATTATGAGCCCCCCACCCCAAAACAAACTCTGCCACTCAGCTGCCTTTTTCAGTTCAGACACCATGGAAGAGCAGCAGGCATCAGTATAGGGCATGTGTGTCTCTACCAAGGAGGTAACAGAGAAACCTTCAGTTCAAGGTGGGACACATATGAGTCAACCTCAGACATGTTCCAGTTACGTCTTTGTGAAATTCGGCCAGGGCAAGAAGTCAGAGAAGGTGAGGGATGGCATCAGCACTCAGACCAACTGACATTGCCAGCTTGGGAAGCAATAGGGTTGTTACTCTTGTGGTTGGGAAAGAGATTTATGAAGAGTACCAGACTCTGCCTTCCATTTCCATAAGAGGCAGATCCATCTTATTCAAGGAAATATTTAGCCCCCATTCCCAGCAAATCTCTCCTGTGCAAAGCAGCATTGTGGTAGGTGGGAACTCCCTTTTAAGTACATACAAATTTGATCTGGGGGAGAATATGTATATTGGAAGTCAGGCATCTGGTACAGCAATAGTTGGCCATGGCATAAGTAGCACAATTTATAAGTGACAACTTGAGCAGCCAGGGTGCAAATGCATGCCTATATCTCCCTTATAGAACACAGGGAGGAGGACAACACAAGAGCAGGATACGGGAGGGGGATTGAATATGGCTGTGATGGAGAGCAGCCACACAGCTCACAACATTCACAAGGCTGTTGAGAGAGATGCTGCAGTAGTGGAGTCCAGCTACAAAAAAAATAAGATCTGTTTGTCACTGATGATGGAGAGAACACTGCAGGCTAAGAAGATGACAGGGATTCAGTGTTTGGCCCACACTCTCAACCTAGGAGTTTTGGGTGCTTTATTGTATATGGAAGACACAAGCATACTTAATATAAATGAGTGGGCCAGAAAGGTGGTAGGGCATTTTTCACCACATTGTCCGGGGCAGTGAGCTGTTGCAGCAGAGGCAAGAAAACCTGAGACTGTATCACCAAATCCAGGATGTGACAACTTGATGAAATTTCACTTTCTACCTGCTTGAAAGAGTGCTGGAGCAGCAAAAGACACTCCATGGTTTAGCACCAGAGACATCCCTGAATGTGGCTGTTCCTCTGGACAAAGAAGACGGGACTTTATGGGTCAAGTGATCTACACTACAGGATGTCATGTGAAGCTTGGAGTGTACAACACAGGTCCTTAGTGGGGAGATGGCCATTCTTAGCCAGGGGATTCCAATGTTCCTAGGCTTGGTTGCCATGCTGGAAGGCATAATAAAAAAAAGGCAGTCTAGGCAGATGGGGGATTTCATAAAAGGGAAAACAACATTTTTTTCAGTCTCCATTGGTGACCTTGCCAGCAAGCTAAGCGACCAGCTCCGCTATAGATTTCTCTCCTTGTGGAAGAAGGAGTACCATCTTCTAACAACCCACTTGGACTCCATTCCCATTAAACAGCAGGCAACAAATATTAAGCAACAGCAGGAGGGGCAATACCAGCGAATTTCCCATCACATTCAGCACCACCTAATGAAGGAGATCTGGCTAGCACTGAGAGGTGACATAGAGCAGAAATAAACTAGCAACATTTGCAGAAGCCCAAACAGCAGTACTAGCAATTGTGTCATTGAGTACAAGTCCCCTTAGCTCTCCAATAACAGGGCATGTTTTCTGGGACACTGTCTTGACAAACAGTCCCCTTTGAGTAAGAAAGAACAGCACACACTTTGCTCACAGTACTAGGTATGCCCTACTTCGGTGTGATGCCCCCTCCTTCTATCTCTTTCGTTCTTCCAACTTCTACTCCAAGACTGCTCTCATTGACTCAACTGTGCTGTGCCTCATGCTGTGGACACAGTTCCCTCCCACCCACAGGCTATCTGCAGCTCCAATCTGCTTGCCAGGCCTGCCCAGAATATTTGCCCATTCCCCAGCATGACCTTTCTCTGCTTCCCTAATGCTGCTGGCATTTCCATTGTTTAGGGTTCAGTCTATGTGCCCATTACAGTCATTTCCTAATGCCTAGGCACTGCTGGCTGTTGATGTCCACTCCTTTTGTTCAGCACAACCCCTGGGGAGGTGTCAGGGGCCTGTTTGTGTGTGTGTTTTTAAAGGGCAAAATAATACCGATGCAATACCCATATTGAGTGTAATGTTCTGGATATCAGGAAATTCAAAATGTTTAAAATTCCAAATCTGAATTTTGGCTACTGCACATCCCAAATCTCTTCTGTCAGTAATACTATCTCTCCATGAAAGGTTAGCTTCAGAAAAGACAGAGGGATACCATTGTTGTCTGGCATTCCATAGCCCTAGACCATCATCTCTTCTGCCACTATCAGATCAAATATGAGAGAAGTTTAGAAGGCCTGGCAGCAGGATGAAGTGGCTTCTGTGACTGGGGAGCCACTAGTGGGTGACCAATTACCATTCATCCATCCATCCATTCATAGCATTTTACTGCTTTCCATTTGAAAATTTCAAAGCAGTTTACAATTCAGTGAAATAAAATGTGAAAACCAGTAAAACAGCAACAAGAGGAGAATGTATATGAACAACTGATTATAAAAGCAAGAGCAAACTGATGTGCATTAACAGTCAGGAAAACGCCTACATACACTGCTAAATCTTCAGTTGGTGGTAGAAGCAACCAAGACTACAACTCCATTTCATATCATTCAGTGTTTGGTGACATATATGTCTCTTTAAAAAGAAGGACAGGGATACTGTCCTCCTTCTAACCCGTGTCCTAGCTGTGAAATAACAAACTGCACATTGTAGGCTGAACTAAATGTGCATGACAGCTCTTTGATTGGACTTTTATTTTACTAGTTTTTTGTTGTCTTTTTTTTTACAAAAAAATATAGTAACTTGGATCAGTGCTGTACAGTATGTGTTGTGCTGCACAGCCCCCCACCCAATCCACTCTGTGCCCGAATAAAGAGCACACAGATTGGGGTCGACCCACCTTGTACCCTTTTGAAGGCAGTCCAACCTGATCCTTGTCTGGATGTCTCATAGTATTTGTGAGTTTAAACAAACTAACACTTCTACATTTTCTCTCCTTTACCAATCCCTCTCTTTCTGCCCTCTAGATTTGAAATTAGTCATGCCTCAGCTGTTACACTTTGACAATTTAATCAACGACTACAACAGAAAAGGCAAGGAAGGTTGATTCCCAAGATTTTTTTAACCCTCTTCATAATCTTCCTTTGTTTTTCTTTCTCATTCTCCACTTTAATCATGATGTGTGAACCCTCGGATTTAACAGGAGGGATCCAAGGGGACGTCATTGCACCTTATTAATTCCTCTTGGCACTGCTCTTTGATCACCCTGGAAAAGCACCAATACCCTTCATTTGGCTCATTTTTACACTACGTATATCTAAAGGCAGTGGACATACCTAGGATTAAATGTTTTCCCCTGCTGATTGTGTGATCTAGAACAGCTATTAGTCGTGAATGGAATACATGCAGTCACAATATATTTTTAGTGTTGCTTTTCAACCAAAAAACAAAACAAAACAAAACTCAGCCCCAGCCCCCAACATTGCTCTGTGTCCTTGATGATGTCAAACACACCATGAGAGTCCATCTGTCACAGGGTCCATCAGAAAAAAGATAATTGGATATACATAAGGTCCATTCAAGTCTACTTAGCAGCTTGAAGGAAAATTAGACATTTCCCTCTCTTCCTCTTTCCTTTATCTACACGGGGCATTCTGGAACTCCATGGTCAAGATGGTAGGGGGAGCAGAATGTTAGTAACTTTAGTTACAGGGAAACAGTTCCTAAATTTATCATATAACATTATTCAAGCTTGAAACACTTTCATATCTCCTGTTGGTTAAACTGTTCCATAATACAGTCATGAGACATATTTTGAATGTTTAGTTTGAGCAGTGTCTAACAACTCTCATCAGCAAAAACGTGTGTGTGTGTGTGTGTTTGTGTTCACCCTTTTAAATTAGTACATTCTTAGCAAACCATCACTGATAATTCAAGGCTGTACAGCTCTTAACTCAATTATAGGTTAACATTTATTCCTTCCTCTCTTTTTTCTCCCATAATTTCTTGAGTTAAACCCAATGCAGTCCCACCCATTCCTTCTTTAATATCAATATTTCAGGCTACTTTGTGTCCTTTAGAAGGAAGGAAGGAAGTCAAACTTCAACACTATTCTGCATTATTCTCCTCTCTTTGCCACAAGCTTTGCCTCACCATATTTCATTAGGCACCCCTTCAGTACAGTTACCTCAATATACTTCTTACCATTTTCTACATCTGCTTTTCAGTGACATTTCATCTTGTATTATCATTTTAGCATCTTTTCCCTCCACTTCTGAGGTGTGAGCAAGACAACCTAGAAGATCTAAGCTCAACTGTCACTAAGTGTGTGACTACGCAGCAAGGGAAATGTGAATAAACTCACCTTCTCTCACTGCAAAGACACCCTGGGGCATTTGGTTTTCTTTGATATAAGTGACCACACAAGCAGGGGAAGGAAAAAGACTTCTAATTGCAGTTCAGTTTGAAGTGGTTATAGGTGGCACATTTAACGGAATTGCTTCAAGAAGGCTTCCCATCCTCAGTCACCCTATTTTCTCATCTTGTCCTGCTGACCCAGATAGCTCAGATAGCTTGTTGAGCTGTAAAAAAAAATAAACAAGAGGTCTGCCCAAGAGGAGCCATTATAAAAATGAGGTGCATCTTAGGAGAGACGCTTTGTAGAGAAAGATGAGTGCTACGGCTACTTTTGTGTTTGTGTGAGAGTGTACAGTTGTGTGTTCTCCCTCATGAGGCAGGAGGCAAAGCACCACTCTGCGTGTGTACTTAGTTGGTATTTCTTTTCTGCATTGGAGATTTGATTTTTATTTTCATTTTGTTTTGTTTTTTTAAGTAGAAGAGTTGGTGGACAGCAAAAACTACAGAATGGGGTGTGGAACTTTGGGCTGATTTTTCTCTCTCTCTCTCTTTCTGCCAAGTTGATCTAGCACTAAACTACTACAGTATATCAATGCAACAGCTCAGCTAAACGTGTTTCTTCAAAATAAATAAATAAAATTCTGGAACACTCAAGGGACAGATTGTGAGGCCAGGTGTGCCTCCAGTCCCTAAAAACCATGTCCCAATTGTTGGCTAGTTAGCAATCTTGATGTAAATTTCAAGATCTGGAAGGAAGGGCCTCCATCAGAGACTAACTTGTTTGCTTGTTTGTTTGCATGCTAACTAATCAGAAGGGTTTGTTGTTGCTGGGCTAGATAAACTCTGCCCTTTTTTTCTTCCCTTCTCCTCCTCAAACGTTTTGAGAGACTCCATTTTGTCTCAGACCATTTTTCACCTTGGAAGATACTAGATCTCCAGGATGGATCTCCAAATCCTAGAGATCCTCCCAGCCACATGGGCTGAGGAAACAAACCTTATTTTACTATTTTCTTTCTATCAACCTTAAGCCTAATGAGTGCCTATTTTAGAAATGGACATTTAAGTGAGTAAAATACACAAACCTTTTTTACTTAAAGATCGCCTCCTGAGTCTTATTTTCTAAAGTGCTAGGCTTTGGTGAGGGTGGATACCAAAAACAGTTGGGTAAAGAAGGGGACTTATACAGCTAATTCTAATCTTAAGGAGCTGGCCTTCCGCTGTGCATTTTACTGGAACTTAAGTTCCCAGAACTCTCAACATCAGCTGCCTATGTCACCACCATACCACCCACAAACACACACCCGCCATTTTGCAGAATGAAACTACTGCTCATGGAAGTCCTTTCAAATCATTCTGGCTTGAAAAAAGTAGGAGCCCGTAGGGGCAGAGAAAAACCTCTTCATTAAGAGCAAAAAAGGCTGGGCTGATTCAAATTAGCCTTTCTGTCATATGATCATCAATTTTATACCTGCAGCAAATCCTATGGTACTTGACCATGTAGTTGTAGCCTCAGAGACTCCAGATGTTAAACTAAACATAAATGTTTCTGAAGCTCCTTTTATATTTCTTGGTCTCCATGGAAATCCAAACTGAGGCATTATGACCTAAGAAGCAGGCAAGATGCTATATACTTCCCGTGCAGAAAGATATTCATGAATGCTGAGGAAGCCACTGCATGTAGGAAGGACTTCCCAAGGTAGCAGCAATGGAGAAAAAAGATGGCTGCCTGTGGCCAGGACTTTTACGGCAGACATTCTTCATCTCATATGGTGATCAATTAACCAAAATACAAAGAAAAGCTTCATTTATTATGTGTCTTGTTCTATCCAGTTTTGACTTTTAATTATTTACTTTAAAAAAGTAAATAAACATTTCCTTTTAAAAAAAGAAATGTTCCCAAAATATACTGAGATTCAGTGGTCTTAAATGCCTCCAAACACGTAGCCACTAACCCAGTGAACAGTAGAGTTAAGGTCGAGCATTTGTTATGAGAGGGAAAAAAAGGGAGACTCAGTTTCCTCAAACCGAAGTTGGCTCTTGGCCGGTGGTGTATTTGGACTGCTGCCTTCTCCACACAAAGCACCCTCTTTGCACTGCTGGTGGCCTTACGGCAACCTCAGAATGGGGGGTGAGGCTGCTGCTATCTTGAACCTCAAGACAGGGAAAATGACTAGGCCAGTGGGTTAAATTTTCCCTCAAAAAACTGACAGTGCTATAATGGAACTACAGAAAGTGAAGGCTGGAATGGCAGTAAAGATAAAGCGGATGTGAGGCAAGTTAGGTTGCAGGCAAGCTATAGGTATGTAAACACCCTGAAAGAAAACATGCAAAAGCCATTCTTGCAAGCACTACTGAGGAGCAAAACAGACAGTAATGTTGTACACAAATTTTAGGCAAATGAACCTTCCAAGTATACGTTGCAACTGCCTCTGGAAAAAAAACAAATACATCTAAAACTTATTTAATTCTCCTCAAAATAATGAGAAGGGAAATATTTCCATGTTTTCTGTTGTAAAAATAAGTTACATATAAGGATGCTTGTCTTTTCTGCAATCCAACTTCATACAGAATTGCTGCTAAACGTCCACATGATGGAGCTCTCATGTAATCAAAATAACTTTGATGCCTTTCTTCCTTGGAGGTGAACCCCTGGTATGACTTGCCTTTAAGATTTCTCCTCTGCCATTCATATCAAATCATTATTTCTTTCACTGCTAGATTAGCTCCCAAGTCAGAATGCAAAATTTATAATTAAAATGTTCCACTGTCCTGATATTGTACTATATATTTCTAAATTAACAAATGCCCATGTATTCTTCTAGTAAATTTCTGGAAATGATTCTTTTTCCCCCCAGTCTGAACTGAATCAGTCTGAAACCTAAACATAGCCAGTCATCACTCAAAGCGCCCAATTTGCTTTGCTTTGTGCTCCATCAGCTGCTGCCTGGAATAAGAATCTAAAACAGAAGAAAAATAAAGAAAAGAGCAGCTTCAGATTGATTCACATTTCCTGTTCTCTGTAAAAAAGGGGGGGGGGTTCAGAGTGCACCCCACATTTGGACAGAGTTTTGAAAAGTTCTGGTTCTTAGACTATAACTGTCTCCATTCTATTGGCAGAGTGTGAACATCCAGTGGCTTAAAAGTCTCTAACTAAACAGTGAAAAGTTCAGAGATCTACAGAGCAGAATCACTCAAAAGGATTTGGTCCCATGAAAACTGCCGGCTAGACGAACAACCAAATTACATTTGACGTTTGGTTCATATGGTCCAATGGCCCTGAAAATATTCATAAGAGAACCTTGCCTGTTTCCTAACCATCCATTTATGCCCTTCCCCATTTTTGGTGTGTTTAGTATTTGTTCTTCAGCAGCTGATAGAGCAGGAAGAAAATGAACATTTCCAAAGCTCTGATGCTGAAGATACCTACACCTCACCAAGTCAGACCCTGGATGAACATGGGAACGTATCCAGTAGGCCTGAGGGACTGAACTTGTATGTGACTAGGTTATCTTCTGTCTTATGTCCGCAAAAGCTTTCCATGCTTCTGGCAAGGAACTATCTGTCTTTATTATAAATGCACTGTGGAAAACCATAGGTCAGTAATCAAAGGCAAAGGCTCAAATTGTTGAGCTTTTTTTTAAAGTTACAAAATGCAATGAAAATCCTATTGACTGTTTTATGCCCGCATTAACACAATGGATGTACAGTAGTGCCTTGCTTAATGACGATAATCCGTTCCAGGAAAATCGCTGTTAAGCGAAAACATCGTAAAGCGAAATTTAAAAGCCCATTGAAACGCATTGAAAACCTCTCAATGCATTCCAATGGGCTAAAAACTCACCGTCCAGCGAAGATCCTCCATACGGCGACCATTTTCAGTGCTTATATAGCAAGGAATCCATCCCTAAGCATAGCGGGGAGCCATTTTAAGCACCCAGCGGCCTTTTTGAAACCCCGACGATCACCTGTTTTTGATCGTCATAAAGCGAAAATTGGTTCCCAAAGCAGGGAACCAATCATCGCTAAGCGAAATTCCCCCATTTAGACCATCGTTTACTGTTACATGCCAAGTCACACACAACTTGGTGCCCAACAGCAAATGCCTATGTTAACTTCTTAATGTGTGGCAGTTCACCAACAGGATTTATGCCAATCATGTTGTTACACTAGGGGTGTCACTAATATAGCTTTGACCATTGGGTTTTCCTTATATGAGCTCAATGAACTGCCTATTTACCGATGGCTTTCAAGATTCTTCTTTCTGATAAAGTTTATATTAGAAATCCAAAACAAGATGTCTCTGTATCCATGCATTCACATATCTTTATTTATATAGTCCTAAACATGGCCTGAGCTGTATCATTTGTTTCAGACCTCTGCACGTGATCTATAATTGCCAGCATGTCTGCCATTTGCCTTATATAGATCCCAAGTGTAGCTATAAGATGCTCCTTACTTTGATGAAAGCAGACAGCTGGTGGTACATATGCCATTCACTTCAGGACTGAAGTACTTTTCTTGATAACCCCTCTCTAACTCTTCAACTAAAAATATCAGATGACATGAAATCTGCCTGGTGAAATGGGGTAATATTTCAAAGCAAGGCACAGGAATTAAGGTGTGACTCTCCATTTCAAAAATCTTCTGGTTAAGAGCTTGTCATCGTGTGTCACTCTGCAACAATTTCTCTTTCCAGGAGTTGGTTTTCAGCTGCTGTGCTGCTCCTTGCAAAGGCGTCCAGCCGCAGGCATTTGACCGTTCTGGGGGAACTGCTTAGCGCTTCAGATAGCAGCTCTGTAAATGCAGAGATTATGAAAAGGTCCCTAACAGGGCGCTTGCTTTTCAGGCATATTTTTATCGCTTCAAAAGAAAGTGCTTACATTTTATTGGTGGTTATATTAATCTGGGAATCAATGAAACCGCGGTTTTAAAAAAAAGCAGTGACTTCACAGTTACTACATGATATGGGAGGAAGAATAAGCAACACGTGTTTTCTCTTCTCCCTTCTTTTTGAAGCTGGTTTTCTGCACTTCCTCCTGTCAAATGCAACAGCTCCCCAGCCCAGAATTTGAAAAAGTTCCTTTTGGGGGAATCACGATTCTTGCACCCTTGTATATGGCCTTTAAGAAGTTTTGGCTGGGATGGACACTTCTGGACTGGGGTCAGTGTCAATCTATCTAGCAGCAGCCAATTGTTCCCTCTCTGACTCAGAATTTTGAAGAGAGTAATGCCTCTCTACTCAAGTCTCCTTTTCCGGTCAGATAGTCTGTGGACAGAGGTATGTAGTCTGTGAGGAGTCAGTGTTCAGTCAGAAGTCTGCTGTTAGTCATGAAGATACTTATTCAGTTAAGCGGTATTTGTGTAATCAGTCATTATTTTCTATGAAATACTGTTTGTTTTAATCTATGAAGACCTGTAAGTAAACGGAAGCCTTTTTTTCTCTTTTTTCTTACCAGTGTCTCTGAGTAAATTATTGAGACAGTAAGTGCCAGTTCAAAAGAACAAAGCAATAAGGGCTGATCTACTCTGAGAATACTATTGGGAGAGACTGCCAGTAATTAAAGAATTCCTTCTTTGAGCTCAAGACTTGCTGAATTTGCCTGCAACTTTTCTACAATCAGTTTCATTGTCGGTAAGTCAGGTGACCACCACACCCAGGATCAAAGGAGGAACAGTTTGAAGTAGTGGCAATCAGTAACCATTCCTTTGAATCACGTACACAGGAGCTCCAGATTTATTCAAGGGCTTTCAAGAGGACAGGACCAGTGTTATTGTTATTCAGAATGATGCAGCCACCTCAGGCAGCAAATGTTATGCAGCAAAGAGTACTAATCATATGCCACATAGCTTGTCCTGCTGCCCCAGCCAGTCTAGCAGTCTGAGGTACAGTGGAAGATGGTTTCCTGCCCCTATATAAAAGTAAGATTCAACTGCCAGCTTCTGCACTTGGAAAAGAAGGTGCCATCCTTTCCTTTGTCTTAAAAAGCAGATTCCTTTGCCCAGTCTTGGATAAAGAAGATTACTGTACACTCGAGGGCTTTCTATGAAATACTGGTTGTTTTAATCTATGAAGACCTGTAAGTAAATGGAAGCCTTTTTTTCTCTTTTTTCTTACCAGTGTCTCTGAGTAAATTATTGAGACAGTAAGTGCCAGTTCAAAAGAACAAAGCAATAAGGGCTGATCTACTCTGAGAATACTATTGGGAGAGACTGCCAGTAATTAAAGAATTCCTTCTTTGAGCTCAAGACTTGCTGAATTTGCCTGCAACTTTTCTACAATCAGTTTCATTGT